ATAAGGAAATATAATCTTTTTCAAATACCAAATTTAGATTTCTAACTTGCTATATTAGCTTAAATAATTTTTAATGTAGTTTAAAATTAAACACAGTTTAAAATTAAATTTAATTACAAAGCAGTACTTTAAAATAAGCTAATGACACAATTTAGCTTTTAATGTTGTAAATAGCAAAGCTGTGTTGAAGTTATGTTTATTAATGCATGTTTTTATTACACAATATCATAACAAGGCCTGATGTATGTCTAAAAAATAAAAATAAAACTGTCAATATATTCAAACTATAATTAATCAACAAGATGTAAGTAAATTATTAATCAATAAATGATTTCCACTGAAAATACAAAGAATTGTATTTAATATCTAGAAAGTTTTTAGAAACTTTGTCAATCTAAAGGTAATATTTTTAGTTATAACTATCATTTTAAGAACTTCTCACAACTGTTTTCACTTATAAATATCATTTTAACAACTTCTCACAACCATTTGCACTTATAATTATTATTTTAACTACTTCTCACAACTGTTCGCAATTATAAGTATCAGTTATTGTGATTCTTTATCTTCTATATTTTTCTCTATCTTTAAAAAGTTTAAAGAAGATATTTATTTCAAAATATTTATTAAAACATTGTTAAAATTTAAATGAAAAGTTTAATAAAGGATAAAGATAATGTCACAAAAACTGTTGTACAAAAAGTTGTGAGAAACAAACTTATTTAAAAAAAAATTACTTTTTTCTTTAAAACTTTTTATGTTATTTTTTAAAGCGTTATAAAAACATAAAAAAAATAAACACTTTTTTTTTTTGCTATTCGCTAGACATCAAATAAACAAATTGCTAAATTTTGCTAGTCGCAAGACATCAAATAAACAAATATAAAAGATCAGAAAAATCTCACTTATAATTTTCATGTTTGTTTATCTTTGAGACCTATGTGTACTATGAGTATAATTATAGCCCTGATGGTCTTGGTTTTGGAGTACTCAAGGGTGGGTTTGAAATAAAGCATGATGTATATATCATGTCTGCTGTTAAACCTATACAACCCAGGATTGTCTTTGAGGATATGCTGGTGCATATTACCAAAGATCTTTTATTGATTTTAAAGTTTGTACATACTGTGCTTGTCTTTTACACAATTTTTATTGAATTTTTTATTGAAAGTTTAACAACAATAATATAGTTCATAAATATATATGTATATTATAGATATAATTATTTTACATAAATATAGATGTATACTTTTATACTCTAAGTTTATCTTCTACAAACTCCATATAAATCTCACAATATACAACCATGAATAAACTATATACTAAAATAATTCATGCCATATTATTTTAATAATCATTCAACTTTTCAACTCTGCACTGAATTTTTAAAAAGATTTTTTTTATATTATTAATTTGAAAAATCTTGGGTAAAGTAATTTAGTTTTATGTCTTTAAAACAACTTTATGTAAGGTGTAAAATACTACTTTAAATTAAATTATGAAAATGTGTGTATCTGTTTTTAACTAGATCTGTTCATCTGTTTTTTCTGCCAAAATCTGCGTTATCATAGAAAAGTTTGATTAGCGTTAATTATTTGTGCTAATGCCTTATCCAACATTTTTTCCAATACCTTATCCAACATTTCTGTTAATGCCTTATCCAACATAGCTCCCAATGTCTTTTCCAACTTTCTTTCCAATGCCTTATCCCACATTTTTAATACTTATATTTTTATTTTTTATTTTTATTTTATATTTTTATTTTATATTTTTATTATTTTATATTTATTAATGTGAAAAGTTATTACAAAATATTATTTATAATATTTAACAATAATTTTTTACCTTCAATTGGAATTCCAGCTTCAAATTCATATGGCACCTTAACATAGCCATCATCGTCCTTTTGCCAAGTAAGCTTATAATGAGAAATGCTTCGAGAAAATCTTGTTTTAAAAGGGTATTTAATATCTAAAAAAATTACATATTAAAACTTTTTCTTTTTTTTTCAAAATAGATTTTTTTATCATTACTTTATATTACAAATTTATATGCAACCTAATGAAACCAAAATTCTCAATAAATGTATATACTTAATGCTATAATTGCAAGTACTTTATACTACTGATATTTCTCTTTAAATATTTTTATTAAAAAGTTTTTAATAAAAAATAAAAGAAGTGACACAAAAATTAAAAATAAATAAATCAAAATTAAAAAAAATCAAATACTTCAGTTGCCTTTTCATGACATAAAAAAAACTCAAAACTTCATGACATAAAAAAAACTCAAAACTTCAAAGCTTTCTTTAGGTTTATGAAAACTGGTACATTTAGATTACAAAAAATAATAGTATTGATTTCAAATATAATTTAAAATGTAAATGTTTTATATAGCATTCAATATTATTGAAATTTTTTTTTATTTTTGTTTCTAGCAATGTTGGAACTTAATTTGTATTTTTTTGTTATTACATTTTTTTCAAAAAGTGTGAAAAAAACAACAACATAAAATTAAAAAGTTGAATATCAAAGACATCATTTTAGATATCTAAAACAACAGCCATAGTTCTGACTGTTAAATGTTTTTGTCACAATACTATTGTGAATATAAAGTTAAATACTAAGTTTGCTAACCAGCAGGAAAAAAAATGTATCTAATACATAAAAGTTTTTTGGTATTAAAAGCCATTCTCTAAAACATTCAGCATGCTTTGTCAAAATGAAGAAAAAACTTTCCTGTGCAATAAAATCTTCCAGCCTAACACCATTTGAAACAATAACTGGTAAAGAGTTTTAGTTGTAAAAAAGGTAATATCACTGGAATCGAATATGTGTTAAGTTTCTTCATCATAAGCAACTTAGATTCCAAATCTTGCCAATATAGTTAAGTTACTACATCATAGGCAACCTAGATTAGTCTCCAAATCAAAACTTACTTAACTTGCCAAAACAACAACTTAAGGAGTTTAAGACTACATGTGATTAGTTCAGAGATCATTTTGATCATATTTTAAGAATATGTAAAAACTCTTGCAAAAAAATTCATTAAAAAAACTGAACATTTTTAAGCCTCTAAATAATGTTTTATTAAAGAATGATTTTTTTTAATTGTGCGAACAACAAGAAGCTTGCAAAGGAACAACAGAATAGAAGACAAAGTAATGGTGCAATGGGTTTTGAAATTTTTTTTAAATGTTTACTATAATTCAAACAATTTCCAGAATATGACAAAAAAAAAGGACAAAAAAATTTGAATAATGACCTTTACATATTTTACATGTATTTCTTTTTTGAAGTAGTTCATCAAACACAACCTAGTGCTAACAAAACGTCAGGTTTGGTCGGGAAGCAGGACCGATCACTTTCGATAACTGACCACAGAAATAATATATAGTTGCAAAAAACTGGCCAGTTTTTTTAGTCATTTTAAGAGCATTTCAAAAAACAAAAAAAAAGTGCAAAAAAGATTATTTGGACCAATAAGAGACAATTACAAAAAAAAAATAATAAACTAGGAAAAGCAAATAACTTTTAACGCAAAAAAACTTAAAGCAAAATAAACTATGTTTAAAACAAATATTTTCGAAACATTTTGAAGCAAAATAAACTATGTTTAAAACAAATATTTTTGAATATTTCGAAATTAAGCGACATTTTTTATATAAAGTAACATCTTACAATTGGTTAATAAGGAAACATATGTTTTATTTATTAAAGAGTTTAATACTATTATTATTTATATACTTGTAGCACATAATAAAAATAGCCTCGGCCCCGAAAAGTTCAACAAGATTCTAATAAAACTAATGCTCGCTTTAGTTTTATTTAAGCTAAATTTCATAAATGAAAAAGTTAATTTTTTTGATAACTATTTTATGTTTCGCGTAGTTTGAAAATTTTCACATATTTGAAACAATTCTTCTTAGTAAGATGAATAAATGAAATAATTGAATCATCGAGTTACTGTAAAAATTAAATTAACTAGATAGAAATCAACTAAAAAAGTTAAAAATACTTTATGAAGAGGAAGCGGAACTGCTTCACAATATCGCTGATGTTTAGTGAGTGGGCTTTTTAATTTTAATTAGCATTTAAATCAGAAAAAAGTAACTTTAAGTTTAACGAGTTTGTAAGAATGGTTGAAGCAAAAATAATTAGAGCTAACCAATACCTATAATATATATGTATATATATATATATATATATATATATATATATATATATATATATATATATATATATATATATATATATATATATATATATATTTATTATTATTATTATTGTTATATAAATTATTATATATTGCAATAACTTATTTTGTCATTACAAGAGATTTATTTTATTTGCATTTGAAAATTGCACAAATAACAAAAAGATAAAACAGGTAATTGCTAAGTTACTCTTATGTAACACCAAATGCGGAGTTCCAAAATGACTCCAGCTTTAAATCTCTATTTTTATTCCTGGTCTCTGGTGTCCAAGAACTCTTAAAATGTGAAGTGACTTTCGATGTGCAGTAAGAAAAAAATTCATGAGATTTAATGATTTGGATAATAATGTTTTTATGGTCTAAAGAAGGTACTCCAGCTTGAAGTAATTGCAATTTCGAAAAAAAGTTAAAAATCACTGGTGTCTACTGAGCACTGACTAGGATATTATAGTTAGCTTAGAACCAATTTTTTTTGGAACCAATTTTTTTTTGATCCAAAGTCCTTGCTGCTATTTTACACAAGATTCTCCCGGTTTAAAATTGATTGTTCCCTAACCTAAAATCCTTTTTTCCCACCAAAAGTACTACATAAGCCTTTTTTTTCATTTTATAAGAGACTGGATACTAAAAACCAGTAGAGAAATAATCATTTTGTGAACTTTAAATCTGAAGTTTTTTTTGGGACTATATCTATGGTCATCAACACTGTCTTGTCAAGTATTGAAAGCAGTTGACAAGTTGTTGGGATAGCTTAACATTGTGCACAAAAAAAAAAGAAAAAATATGTTTGTTTGCTTTGGTAAAATAGTTACAGAAATAAGTCAATAGAAAATCAATGACCAAACAAATGATCAAAGTAAAAATATAGCAGGAAAAAAAGGAACAAAATTTTTGAAAATTTTATAAGAACTGCTGAGGTAATTGTATAATAAATGTTTTTAGAACAACATATTATGTCAAAACTCATACATAAAAACAAAACAGACTAACATAAATATTTATTTATTATACTTATTGAAATGCATGTTAACTATTATTGTTGTATAATATATTGCATTAATGTTAACTATATATTATATGTTTTATATAACTAAATAATTTTGTTCAAAACATTTCTTATGTTAAATCCTATGCTACCCTGAACTTTTTATATTTTTAATACTTTTTGTAAATACCTTTATATAATATTTATATTCTAAATAACTTTAATAAATACTTATATATAATAAGATATTCATTCCAAGACTGCACTTTTTTCGATGTTAATTCTGATCAAATTGACCAAACCTTTTCTATTTATCTTCAGTCAATATCTCTGTTTTGGTGACTTAAATGATCATCGCACTGAATGGCTTGGTACTTTTGTTCTTCCAAATCTCTAACACAAATAGTCAATTTTCTAACTCTCTTTCCAGACAATCTGAATCATTTACCTCCTCTACTTGACTTATGTCTTGTTTCTGATCCTAGTCAGTGCTCAGTAGAAACCAGTGATTTTTAACTTTTTTTCGAAATTGCAATTACTTCAAGCTGGAGTACCTTCTTTAGACCATAAAAGCATTATGGGTAAAATATAAAGGCTTCAGGTATTTCCGATTATAACTTATTTGGACTTATATTTATCATATATTATCATTAAAAAGTAAAAACTTTAAGAGGTCACACAACAAATATTTGAAACGTTAATGCACAAAAAACTTTTATGAATGTATTGTTTATAAGGATAAATTATATAAATAATTTTAACTTAAATTTTTAAGGTTGTTTTTAGGGTGTTGGAAAAATAATTATCATAACTTAAACAATAAGCGGTTTTCAATAATCATTAGCCATTAACTGAAAAACGGATTTAAACATAAACAACAATGTTATGTTATAACTCCTTAAAAATAACAGTAAAACGCTTTCACAAGGTTCAATCTACAATTTGATACTCTGGTTTTTGGTTTGTTTACATTTTTTTAAGGCCGCATGTCATGTCATGTAAACAGGGTGTCATGATAAACAGGGTGTCATGATAAACAGGGTGTCATGATAAACAGGGTGTCATGATAAACAGCATGTCATGATAAACAGGGTGTCAACTCAAAACAAACTTGAAAAAATGTATAAAACTATTTTAAAAAAACACAATTGAATAACTGGAAAATGTATTTTTTTATAATTATTGAATCAATGATGCACAAAAAATATATTTTTTAGTTTTTTTAGTTTGCTTTTCAAAACAGTCCTTTCTAGTCTATTCAGTTTATCCAGCGGAGTGAACACTATATCCAATAAAAATGGTGACTTTTTTTTGGATATAGTGATATATTTTAATGCTTATTTTTATAATAAGATAGCTTCTACTCAACTTTAAAAGTTACTTTTTTCGCCAAAATTCCTATTTTTTTATAAAGTAATTACTCCAGCTTGAAGTGATAAATTTCCAGAAATTGCTGGTGTCTAGTGCTCAGTTGCTCCACATTAACCCAAAGGTGCTCATGATAATGGTTTGAACCTTCTAAATCAATTATCTTATTTTTCTACACCTCCTATCACCAAAACGACTCTACTTTTACTATGTCTGTTTACTTTCGAAATTTCTAGAAAAACTTTAAAAGTGTCGATAATCAGGAAATCTGCTATTTCATCTCTCTTGCATGGTTCAGATTTTGTTACCTCACCTAAAGAAAAAGCTGAGTTGTTTGCTAAGAACTTTTCACCAATACTATCTCTTAATTTCACTAATCACATCCTACCTTATATAGTTAACA